CCACTCTCACAACCAGTATGTTGTAGTCTGAACATTGTCATTGTATACACTTTTGTGTGCCTTTCATGTTTCCAATGCCCCGCTCCTCTTAAGTGTGGAGAACTGTTATATGTTCAGAAGCTCTTAGCTCTTCTAATTATTTCAGGGGGTTCTAGTGTATTGGCTCTGAAAACAAGACAACCGTGGCTCTTTCTGTGGAAAGCAAACTGTTTTATTCATTTATTGCTTTATCAAAATAGAGTATATATAAAGAAACTATTATGGTTTTGAGAGCAGTTGCCTTGTGGGTTTCTGTGTTAGTCTTAACGACCAGCCTACTCAAGTTACATGTATGAAGGTGACACTTCACCACAGAAGCAAAACAAGGCTGAGATTTCCTTCTCTTTGGGCATCAGAAGTACTGCTTTGCTCTTTTCTTACTTACATATGTATGAACTCAACTCACTGCTCTGCACAGGGGGGAGTGGGAGCTGAATGAGTTAATTTTCTTCCTAAATAACAGCATTATTGCAGGAAAGGAAGAGAGTCTTGTTATGTCTAGAGCTGTTTGCTCTGCAGGTGCTCAGGGAGAATTTTTGTTTCCATGGTCAGCAGATGAGGCTCGGTGCTTGGGAAACCTGGTTATAAAGATGTTGCTTTTTGCAGTGGCCTTTGGAGATCGCTTTCTTAAAAGCAGTTATTTTATGCTTTTGGTATAGTTTGAGGTTAAAACACTTTCTTGTACCACAGAGATCCAGTCAGCATTTTGTGATGTTTTCCTTCACAGGGCCATGATGGCTCACCTATCTGCAACCTGCAACCACAGCCATTTTGCCAGGCTCTTTCAGAAACAGCTTATCCAGGTAAATTACTTGTTTTTTTCATGAAGATATACATCAAAGCTGATCTGATCCTTCCTCAGCCTGAGAAAACAAACTGTGTCTTGCAAGTTTCTTTGAGATTTTCCTATTGAAAATTTTTTGGGAGAGCCAAGTCTTCAGTATGGGAATTTCCTTCCTTTTCCAGAAATATATATCAGTGATAAATTACTAATGAACTCTGTGTAAATCAGGGATGAGGCACACTGAGCACATCGTGAGCTGCAAGAATTAATTCTTCATGGTTATTTACTTTTACCCTCTAATTCTAGAACATTTATCATTTATAGAAATTTTAAGGATCTGTTTTGACATGTATCAAATGCAGAGGTTCCCAGTTATGTTCATTAGCAACGTGAGTGTACTACCTGCAAAAAGTCGCTGGTTCTTCTGTGTAATGCTGCAATAGGCTTTTTTTGATATAGTATTGCTGTGGTAGTTCACAGGGGTTTTTTGGCCAGTTCCAAGCATCGTCTGACTTCACTGGAACTGAAGGAACGAAGAAAGAAAAGATGCTTCTGATTGGAGTATAGATTTTCACTGTATTCTCTATAAATGGCTGGCTTATTGGTGGGTTCCTTTTGGATAGCAAAACAGACACAAAACCCCGCCTTGAGTATTAGCCCACACACATTGCCAGGAAGTTGCAAGCTGTTGGAATGTTGAAAATTCCTCTAGTGTCCAACCTGAATTTGCATCAGTGTCCTGTCTGATGTGTGTGTTCAGGGAGATTGTGGGAAAGAGGTGAGATGGACTTTGTTGTGTCAACAGAATTTAATTAGTCCTAGGTACTGTATTTCTCCTTCATACCTGTGCCGCCTTAATGAAGACTGCAGGGTTTCACAAGCATAACCAAAGCTTTAAACTGATAACTAGGAGTCTTCAATGAATCCGATGTGTCTGACCAGAAAGTGATTTGCAGAATCTTCAGAATCTTGTGTGTGTTATGATACTCATGCAGAAAAGAACCTAGACTGAGGATTTGTGTCGAGGCCTGATAATTTAAAGGTTGGGAAGTGTAGCAAGATGCTCTTTTGGGAGAGGAGGATGCTCAGTTTGGAATAAATGGACCTAGTAATTGTTTGCTTGATATACATAGTTAAATGTTGCTTTTTAGTATGATCTCTCTCATTAAAACTATCCTGACTTAGATGTAGGCGTATGCAGTCATCTTTTCCCTTTACTCGGCATTGGTTAGGTTACATCTGGAGTACTGTGTCCAGTTTTGGGCTCACCAGTACAAGAAAGATACAGACTAACTAGAGCGAGTCCAGTGCAGGGTCACATAAATGATTAAGGCACTGGAGCATTTTTTGTATGGAGGAGAAGCTGAGAGAGGTGGGACTGTTCAGCCTGGAGAAGAGAAGGCTCCAGGTTATCTTAGCACTGTGTACAAATACCTGATGGGAGGGAGTGAAGAAGAGGGAGCCAGATTCTTCTCAGTAGTGTTCACTGACAGGACGAGAGGCAATGGACACAAATTGAGAAAAAGGCAATTCCATCTGAACACAAGAAGACACTTCTTTACTGTGAGGGTGGTCAAACACTGAAACAGGTTGCCCAGAGGGGTTCTGGGCAGAGGTTCGCCCAGAGGGTGAAGTTCCAGTCTGTGGAGACATTCAAAACCAGATTGGATGTGATCCTGGACAACTTGCTGTAGCTAACCCTGATTGAGCAAGAGGGTTGGATTAGATGATTCAAGAGGTCCCTTCCAACCCAAACAGTTCTGCAGTTCTGATTCTTTGAGCCTTGAGTAGTATCTATGTGTTTGGGGGAGGGAGGCATTAATTTTTTAACTTTGTTTAACTCTGTGGAAACTCCAGGAAAATCTGGTCTGGGAATTCATAGTGCAGTATCATGGTCCTTGGAGACTGGGCTAAAGGTCCTACTGAGGGGTTCATGAAGACCATGAGTGATAGGTGTTCTCTCCACACATCCAGATGTAGTCTGCTAGATGTGCCTGAGTTAGATGTATAGGATCGGAATTCCATCTCTCAAGATATCTAGGCTGTTGATGGCCAAGGTGGGTAGCATGTTTTGGCATGAGGAAAAGGGATCTTCTGTACGTGGGCTGCCTGAAAAGGCCGTGCTTGGATTACTCCTAAAACAAAATCTTGCGAGGAAGGGAGAATATGTGGGGTGAGAGATAAAGTGAAATGATGCCTTATTACAAGTATTCCACCTCACTACTCTTTCTGTCCCCTGAAGATGTGTAAAGGTCCTATTGGTGGTGGTGCAAGCTGGGGAGACACCCCAGACCAGGATGTCCTTAATATGCTGGGTTCTGACAATCTGAGCCGTCTGAAGAGGCTGCAGGAAAGATTTGTCGTTCCTCAGAGCATCAGAGGACCTTGTCCACCCCCTTCGTTCCCAGGATGCCAGCAGTTCTTCAGGGACTTCATCCTCAGCGCAGGAAGGTTAGCTGCCCATGGTTGCTGTTTCCTTGGTGAAGTGTGTGGGCAAGTGGGGAACACCAGCATGTTGCTCTTGCAGCAGGGAGTTGTCCAGAGAGCTTGGGGCATGGTGTAACCTAGGCAGAGCATATCAGAAATGTTTTTAAGCTGCATAATACCACACTTAGTGTTCCTGGCCAGCATGCATGGTGAACATGTTAATAAGCAAGTTCTGCCTGGAGCATAGAATGTCTTTGTGTGTGTGTGCGCTACACTAGGTTAGACTATATGTCTATAAAACCGTAATATCTTGTCACAGGCCATCAGCATTTCCCAGTGCCAAGGCGTAGCAAGGGCACTGGACTGGCCAAGTATTTCTTGTGTGGTAGTGCATGAAGCTAAGGAGTCAGAGGATGAAGCCAGGTTCATGGTTTTGTTTAATGAGTTTTTCACAATCCACAGCATGGGGGAGTTGTGATCTATGGGAGATTTGAATCTTAAGTTCAGTTACTTTACAGCTTCCTGCTTCGACAGATCTATATTATTATCCTTATGCTGGGTCTTGCTAAATAGCACCTGTTTGAAAAAGTACAAAATAAGAGTGGAAAAGAAGTGGGTCAGCCAGTACTAGTCTTGTCCCTTTCTTGCTTGTCTTCAGTCTGTTACATTTGATGTCTGCTGATGCTTGATACAACTCATGAGACAAGCTTGAAGTTTCACAGTGTGTTAGTTGAGGTTTTGCTGCTGTTTTCAGCCCAGTCTGATTCATCATCATCTTTTGCTGAAGTTACCAGTTCAATCAGCACCTGATGGATAGTCTGTGCCTGAAGATACTCGAACTGGATGGCCTTACTCTGGTGGAGCATGAGCACAGTGATGGGGAAGCAGATATGGATGAACAGGTAAGCTTGTTTTTTGCAAACACATCTGGCAGAAATTTCCCTGAACTATTCCTGTACCCAGAAAATTACTGGCTTGACTATGAATTGCCTGGAGCTTCCATTGCTGTATTTGCAGGACAAGAGCTTCTTCATGTAGTTTTGTCATAACTCTGCAACTTGGTTATGGATGTCTGAGCCCCTTGCCATTTACTTGCATGCTTCAGGGTGCTTCATAGAACTGCGTCATAAGAGATGATGCGCAATAGTTTGAAAAGTGAGAGCCTCTTTTTAGGTTGTTAGTACCCTGTGTTAGATCAATGAAATAACTGAGTCCAGTTGTTACACTCAGTTGCAATAGCTCCTTGTTACTTTTCCATGTAGAAAGATTTTAGTTAGAATGAATTTGTACTCATGCTTGTTCATACCTGTTCAGATGTTTCTTAACTCATCTGTACCTATTAGAGGTGTCATCATAGCTTATAGTCTATTAGCAAAGTAGTAGCCAAAGGTTAATGAAAACTTGCAGAGCAGTAATGGTATAAAGGAGGCAACGTGAGATCAGCTCTCTGCCTTCTCATTGACTCCAAAGTTGTCAATATGAAGATGTGATTGAGCAGCTGCTTGTTTTAGAAAGCTCTTGAATTAATTTCTTCTCACTATAAGTGAAGCAGTGGAGGCAGAAGCAATTTAAAATGCTTGATAAATATGTATTTTGGAAACTTACCTTTATTAAAAGCAGTGATGAAGCTATGTGGCCCTTTTACATGAAGGAAGTGGAAGATTAGTGTAGGTAGTTGCTTTGCCAGTTTACGGTAGCATTGCCCCGTCTTGCTTTTCTTCATTTCAGGATGAAAAGAAGCGTTTCACTGTGGTCCTATTAAGCCTACGACTCCTCGCCAAGTTCCTGGGGTTTCTTGTTTTCTTGCCATATCGCACTGTGGAGCAACCAACTAGAGACTTGCAAGACTCTGCAGTAGCGTTAAGAAACCAAGTAAGAAACCAAACTCTTCTAAGAAATCTAACGTGGCCTTTTGCTTGACAGGTGGGTTTTCTAATCTAAGGAGGGGATTATGAATAGTTATGCCCTTTCAAAGGGAGCCAGTGGTTCCTGGGATGATGTTATACTGTTCTATGCCCCTACTGCGTATTCTGGGGTTGGGAATAAAGGAAAGAAGAGTTTGTGTAAGCTAGAAGAGAAGGAGCAATGCACTGATGGTGAGGTACTCGGTCTTCAGTTATTTCTGCTAATCTGGGGCTGTCATACCAGAACTCTGACCTAGCTAAGACGACTTGTATTGATAGTGTAAAATCCAGCTACCAGGAATGTTTTAGTTAGTTTTGCACCCATCTCCTGGCAGTGTGTCATACTGAATGCAAGGAGGCAGGGGTTAGACCTTGACTCTGCTTGTACATAGTCAGGCTTATAGCCTTACTTTTGAAAGTCCCAGTGGGAACTCTGGTTGCCATCATAGTGTGGTTTTTACCTCTGCTCGTGTGCAAAGAAATGTTTTCATTAGCCAGAAAGTCACCTCTTATTTGTACGGAAGATGAAATCCTAGAAAGAAAAGTCATGATATAGATAAAGTTTTTCTTTAAGTATGAAAAGGTGACTTCAAGCTGCTGCTTTAACTTCTGTTGTCCATTAAGACCCTGCCTGTACTGGATGTATTGAAGCTTCTGAGACAATCTATTCGGGATCAACGTTCTATTCTCACTATTCCTTGGATTGTGGAGTACCTTTCCCTTGTGGATTATATTGCTCCTTTCCTTGATTACTACAGGAAAGTATTTTGTCTCTTGCTGCAGGTATACAGGTAAGAGCCTGGGAAAAGATATTTTTTAAGAACTTTTCTGTGAAGGTTTGCTTGCTTAGTTGAAGTGCCTGGTATTTGAGAATGCATGCTGGCCCTAGTTTGAGATTCTTATAAAAGTACTTTTTTTTTTTTTGTGCAAATCATGAGCACTTCTTATCTTACATAAGGCTGCAAAGGGAGGACATACTAAACTCAGAGATTAATATTTGATTTAAATATGTGGCTTTTCATTAAGTAAACAAAATACTTTAAATCCCTACTCATTCTACATCTGCAGCTGTGAATTTTAAACCTTGAATTTGAACCTTAATTAAATACTAAACCTACAAGGTCTCCCATGCCTAAATAATGCTCTAGTTTCTGTTCTTATATACATGAGGAAAACTTGAAGCACATTCTAGAGAGTTACTTAATACTGGCTTTTCTAGTGTAAACTTAAAACAGTATGTTATTCAGATGCATACGTACAAAAAAGTAGAGCTTGCTCTCCACTCTTTAGGCAGACAAGTAGGGAATGTATACATGGTGACAAATAGTATAATTAGAAAGTGAGTGGTTTGGGATTTTTTTTTCCTTAATGAAAACTGAGCTACTGAAATCTAACACTCTCTTGCTGCTTTTGTTTCATGGCAGGTTAATGGTCCTTTCTGAAGATAAGGAGATGAGTTTCCTGAACAAGCTGCTGATCCTTGCGGTTCTGGGTTGGCTTTTTCAGGTAGAGTCTCCTGTGTGCACGCAGCTCTTCTCTGAAGAAAAAGCAGGGCACAGAACTCAATAGAAAATAGTATTGAAATGAGTTAAAACACTGCAAAGCAGTAGTTTGTTGTCTTGTTGGGGTTTTTTTACACTAGTGTGGGATTTAAAGAATCCTCTGTATTCTAATGGAGAATTATGTTCCTTTAGTAGAATTGTGTGAAGCAACATTTTTTTTCGAATGGGAATTCTAATTGCTACTGAAACACATTCTGTACTTATAACTCTGCATCCTTGTAAGCAAATTGACAGTTGATTCCTGTTAGAACTGGAAGCTCTTGTCAGAGAGATGGAGTGCTAGCTGGCAGCCTTGAATTACTGGGAAATTTTTTGTCTGATAAAGGGATGGTGTGTGATGAACTTTTAAAATCCTTTTGTGCCTTCAGTTGGAAGCAAGGTAACTGGTTAGCAGGAACCTGTTGAAAAGGTGAAATATGCTGTCTGGAGAGCATAAGGAAAGTGGCTTATGTTATTGTGATCAAACTGAATCTAATTTTATGGAAAGGTTCTCCTCAGGGCAGAGAGGATCCTTAGTGCTAGTTTTTTGTGGGTGGGAGGTTGGTGAGATTTTACTGTCCTCTTTATTAGAAATGGTGTAAGTTACTGACAGCTGTTTGGGTTGTAACTACTAGGGCTTCTGTTCCAGGTTCCATCAGTCCCTGAAGAGCTCTTTTTTACCGCTGATGTCAGGCAAGAGGGATTGATGATGGATACTGTGACGTCTGCTCAGGCTTTGGTGAGTTAGTGAATCAGTGGATGAGGGTGGACCTACTGTGGCCTCAGGAGTTTAAGATTTTATCAGGAACTTGGCTTCAGTGCAGCTGCATAGAGCATTTGTAGGCCCAATGGATGTGATGCCCCAGTTTGTCCAAGTGCCTCAGTTGCTTTGCATCCTGGATTGTAGACTGTGTGTGTTACAGCTCTGGGGCTTTTGTCAGGCAGGAGCCATCTCACCTGCTGCAATGGCTTGCAGAATAGGTGCAAAGTTATGCTGGAGAATCAGATGCTATTTTCCTACTCACTGATTATTGCAGTACAAGGTGAGCTGATAGAACTGTAGCTCTTCCCAGAAATAAGTAATGGTAATGGTGAACTCAGCAGAAATAGTAAAGCAGGACTTTTAGAGAGAGCAAGGTTGCTGTCTTTGGAGTCACCTGTTTTCCAGTTGCATGGTAAAGGGTAATTGAACTGAAAATAGCATGAGCAAGCAGAAAAGGAGGTGAGTTTATGGCATGTGTGATGTTTCAGATAATTCCCAGACATGCAAGAGAATACACAGTATTCCTTGAAAAATAAGCAGTATGTTTGCTAAGATATCTTCTTCTAATTAGAAAGTTCTGTTTTGCACTCTCTCTTCAGTGGCGGAGATAAGATGCAGAGAGCAACTGATTTTTCTTTTTTTTTTTTTTTGCAAATGAGTGCAGTACACACTACCCTCATGGATGGGATCTGAAGTTGCTTTTCCTCCCATGCCTCTGCCTGAGCTGTGTAATACTGGGGTGACATTACTCCGTAGTGTGGTGTTCCAGTGAGTTTGGGTGAAGACACCTGTAGAGGTGTAATGCATAGCAGATGTGCCTCATTTATTCTCCCCCATGGATAGGCTTCTCTTTTACATGTAGCAGCTGGGGCAACAGTCCTGGTTCCCCTCCGTAACCATCAGCTTTCAGCTGGGCTTTGACAGTGATCAGAAGCAAAGGTTGAGCTACACTAGCTAAAGGTAGAGCAGCTCATTGTGTGTTACAGGGCTGGACTGAACACTTGGGCTGCAAAGTTCATAATTTTACTGTGGATTTAGAATCCAGTTATTTTTATTGTTTTCGTGGAAAGGCAGTTCTGAAACCTGCCTGTGACCACGCGTATGGGATTTCTGACTTGCTGAAGACTGTTTCTTTCCTGCTGTGTCCTTTCAGCATTTCCTTCCTTTTCTCACCAGGACTCTGTACCCTTGGTGGATCAGCAGTTGCTTTATACCTGCTGTCCCTATCTTGGTGAGTATTTTATTTATATTTGCTATATAAATAAAATATATTAGCATATATTTGTTTTTATTTATATTTGTATTTTTTTATTTATATTTGTCCTTTGGTACTGTGAGTCCTCGGATCGTCTTTCTTACCCCTCCTCACAACTTCAGGTCTCAGTTGTGTATGCGTCAACCTTGATAAAAAGCTGTATTGGCAGAAGCTCATGCAGCTGTGAATGGTATCTGCTGAAGCTGGGGGAGGGAGACTACACAGTCAGGATAGTTGATCTACAGAGCTTGAATACAGAGGGACAGGGGAACTCATCCTTCACAAACTGGAAGGAAGCATTATAAGGAGTAAGTGTATAACTTTTCCATCCTAGGTATAGGGAGAGGTGTTTGTACTGCGAGGAATGTCTTGATCCTTGAGCATGTTTCTGCTGCCAGGCAGAGGGGAAGAATCCTTTTGTGCCCTGGTGCTTTATTAGGTGGTTGGTTGGGATATCTTTCTCCTGGGATCTGTCTGCCATTGGTGAAATCCATCTCTGTAGACAACAGACTCCCAGATGGTGCCGACGGTGCTCTGCTTCTTGGGACTTAGCTGCTAGGAAAATTGTATGTTAAACCTGCATTACAAAAGCTTCTAGGGGTTGAACAAGTCTTCACGTTGGTATTTTCTCCTGACCCTGTTGGAATTTTGTGTAACTCTGCTTGCCTTGTTGTCCTTGTAGACTTTACAGTTCCCGCTTGCCATGCTAAAAAGGGATGTGTAGAAATGACTGCTCCCTGATCCTTCTGAACAAGGTCTATGTGCCAGAGAGCTTTTTGGAAGCCTCCTCTTATCTTCGGAGCCTTGCCTGCCTTCTATGCCCTGCCAGTTAAATGGGTGGGATGCTTTTCTGAAACTTCAGCTTTCCACAGAAGCTGAGAGAATCTGCCCTGGAAACAGGACTGACAACGTGGAAGTCTCTCTCTTGAGTTTTGATTTGTTCCCTTGCTTAGGGGAACGATGACTACTTTTGCATGTTTTCCTGTACAGGTGAGCTGCGGAAACTACTTGCCTCTTTTGTGTCTGGTAGCGGAGCAAAAAATGGTGGCTTTATAAGGAAAATCACTCCCACAGCTGCAGAGTCCTTGGCACCCAAGGCTTCAGTCACACAGCGGAAGCTGCAGGTAATGAAATTGGGGAGTCACAAGGGGAAGCAGGGCAAGAGAAATTGCTTGTGTGAGGGTAGGGTACGTAGTGGTATCCTAATGCCAGGGGAAGAAAAGAATGGGCCTAGGCAGCAGGGAACATTGTGTTTAACGGTCGGGTATCCTTACTCCTCATTCTTCTGTTATAGTCATGTGGCTGGGATACCATGTGGGTGTTGAAATCCAGATAACTTCAGTAAACATTCTTGCAATTGGAACAACTAGCCTGTTTCTCTGCCTGCCTCTTTAACATAAAATGTTGGTATGTTTCTCATACTCTGTTTTGGTTAGATTGTAGCCATATTTTCCACCAAAAGAAGAACTATGTAGGAGCCTACAGGATTACCAGACTGTAATTAAAAGAGAGGATCCTTTCTTTCCAAAAACAAACCCTATGTGGTGACTCACTACTAGTAGGTGCTGTTAGAACTCTCCCATTCTTCCCTTTACTGGGAATTTGCTTTTGTAGCTTCATAAACCCTGATAATGAGCTTTGGGTTAAATGGTTAGAAGGAAATAGGGAGCAAATATTTTACAGGGGTGCTGAATGCTACAGTAGCAGAAAGTTCTAGCGTAGGCAAATTATGTGCCTTTTAGCACAATTCCAGATTGTAGTTCTGTCCATTCCTGTGTTGAGGAGAGGAGGATCTGGGTGGAGTTCTCCGATCAGTTGTAGCCGTTTTCTCTTGTACAGGTAGAGTTGGAACAGGCCTTCTTCCACAACCAGCCTCCCTCCCTACGGAGAACAGTTGAATTTGTGGCAGAGAGGGTGGGATCCAACTGTGTTAAGCACATCAAGTAAGTGCCGGTGATCTCTTCTGTGACTTAAGAAGTAACTTTACACTAATGAGGCAAAGAGTTGATCCTTTAAAATTGTGTGTGGGAGGGAAAGAAAGCTTCCCTCAGTTTGCTTTATAGCAGAACACCAAGGACACCCTATGACAGTGGGGTCCAGCAACATCTGATTGCCATCACAGAGGGGAATTTGTGAAGGGATGCAAAGAGAAGGGTTATATGACTGTGGGACACTTGGAATGTGAACATAATACAGTGTTTTGAGACTTTATATCCCTTTCAGAAAATTCTTGCTAATGATAGGGAAATCTCAGATCAGAAAGGACCTCTGGAGGTCATCTGATCTAAAATCCTGCTCAAAGCAGGGCCAGCTTTCAAGTTAGGTCAGGTTGCTTGGCACCTTTTCCAGTTGAGTTGTGAAAGTCTCTAAGGATGGGGATTCAGCAGCCTGTTAGTACCATGTTCCGATGCTTAATTTTCCCAGGCTTTGTGAAAAATGTTTCCTTATATCCTATCAGAATTTCCCTTGTTCCAGCTTGTGCATGTTGCCTGTCAACCTTTAGCTATGCGCTTCCTGGAAGCATTGTTCTGTCTTCACTGTAACCCTTCCTTCTCCCTTCACCTTCTCTTCTCCAGGCTAAGTGAAAATGGTTCCTCCAGCCCCCTTGTAGGTTGTGTGCTCCAGCATCCCAGCTACCTTAGTGATTTTTTTTTTTTTTTTTCTTTCTTTTCCCCCCCTTCCTGCAGTCATTCAAATTGTCAATGGCTGGCTTGTACTGGGGTCCCAAAGCTGGGCAGTGTACTCCAGATGCAGCCTCACAGTGGCGAGGGAGGCAGTAACTTCCCTTGACTTGCTGGCTGCACTGTTGCTAATGTCAGCCCAGTATAAGGTTGGCCTTCTTTGGACACTGCTAACTCATTTAGCTTGTATACTGGGAACCCCAGATCCTTTTCTGCAGAGCTGCTCCCTAGCCAGTAGACCCTGCACAGGTACACAGTCACCACCCCACTGTCAGCCCGTTTCTCCAGCTTGTCACAGGCCTTCCGAATGGCAGCCCTGCCCTCCAGCATTTCACTCATAAGCTTGCTGAGAGTTTCACTGTCCCCTTGTCCAACTTGTTGAAGACATTAAAAGGTATCAGCCCGCAAAGAATGCTGGTTGTAGTGGGCTGCTGTTGACATCTTTGAGCTTCTGACCACTATCCATTGAGAGTATAAGGGTATTGCTGCCAAAAAAGATACCTGTAACCGTATATGTTTCTATTAAAACCTAAAGGCTTTTGATTCTTGAGTCTTAGTACTATTTTGATGTCTTCATTGCTGCTTTCTTCCTTACAAAAAGAACAAGGAGATGGTACGGTACTAAACGCAGTGTAATTAGTTCTTTTTTTAGCAGAGTGGTTTATTGCATTTGTGCCTGAGAGAGATGGGTATCCTCCTAAATTGGGGGAAATGGCTGGTTACAGTTAGGGTGCACTGTTTTTTGTATTGATTTCAGCCTGTCTAATTGTTCTTGTTTTTTTTACAGGGCAACACTGGTAGCAGAGTTGGTTCAAAGGGCTGAAGTCATATTGCAGGATAAAGTGAAGGAGGAGGATGCTAATCATGACAAGCTGCTTGAAGAGGTGTGCGCTCATCTGTATGCGGAAGGGGCCCAGGCACTCATCAAAGGCAGAGAGTAAGGAGGAAAAGTTATTTAAACTTGTGCCTTCCCGTCTCTTCTTATTGCGGAATCTGTAAGCCTAATTCGGCTTGGCCTGTCATGCTCAGGTTCTGGTAATTATAAACCCTGACCTCTGCTCTTCTTAGGGTGACTGTCTGCTGTGCCTCCAGCCAGTTAATGCTGTATTTGTAGGAAGGAATAAAGGTGCTGTGTGTCCCTCTGCATCCAGCTCCAAACGGACATCTACTGCAGCTATTGTATTTCCCCTTTTTGGAAAACTGAGTATTGCAGCTTGCTGGCTTGTAATTGCTTTTTCCTTGTCTGGTCTTTTGGTCTGACTTATTTCACTGCAGTCTTCCAACTGGTTTTGACTGTAAGAGAGCATGTGAAAGTTCCTATGGTAATGAACCTCTGAGTGTTGTCCAAGAACTTTGACTAATCCTGTGGCACGTTTTCTTTCTTTTCTTGCAGATTTTGCAAAAAGAAAGGTCCTGAGGCGGTAAGGGTGTTATTGCCGGAAGAGACATCTGCAGCAGTATGTATTTTCACTAAAACTTACTAAAGGCCTTGACCTTAAGTCTGGACACTACCATTTTTCCATTGCTGCTTCACTTGTCCCTTAATAGCTTAGGGCAATGGAATCTAATGATGCCCTCATGTGAGGACTAATAGCTAAGGAGAGTCACCTCTGCCAGGCTGCCTTGGATATTCTGGCTAAAGTGATACTCTAGCCAATACCTAACTGTTGAGACTAGAACGATATATAAATTGCATTCATCTTGCAAGGATAATGCTTTTGTTTTAGCATCAACTTCCCCAAGAGTTGATGGGGTTTGTATAGGGTTGATGAGGTTTGGGAAGTCAAAATGGGTCAGTCCTATTGCTCAGAGTAGCAGTTCCCACAGAGGTGGCGGTGCTCTTTTTAAATATTGCATGCCAAAATTAAGCCTTTTCCCTCTAGACTTCCTTCTGACTTCTCACTGACTATAGTGCTGTGGCTGGTAGTAAATCTCCTATCACTTGTTATCCTCCCTGTAAAGGTTTTAAGTAGTGCAGAAGACATTGCAGTGGAACTGGCTACTGAGAAAGCCTGTGGCTGGCTTTCTGCCAACATTGCAGGTGAGTCTCCTTACCCTGCGCTGGGGCTTCTAACCTGTATATTGTACTCTTTTTCTGAGATCAAGGGGTAGAATTTATTCCAGTGTTATAAAGTACTTGGTCCTACTCATTTTTCTTTTAGTGGGAAGCATGCAGTTGCTCTGTCCCTCCTTGTTTAGGAATAAGAGGAATGATTTCTAGCTCCAAGAACCTTCTCCAGGGATTTTTCAGGCTTGGCCCATGTAAGTGACTTTTAGTTATGGAGGCTCGTAGGATGGTGAGAATGAATGCTGTGGCAAGCTGCTTCTGAAAATGTCATCTAGGCTGAAGTTGTCTTAGCATTTCAAACATATGATACAGACAGCTGTGCTCTCAAGACCTTATGGTCCACATGTACAGAGTGCTTCTGAAATCTTCTGTAAAACAAACACCTCTTGGACTGGGTGTTTTCAGCAGGCTGAAGGCAACTGTAGTCCTTTTACTCTGTAATAATGCCCTGGCAACTCTTCAGAATCTCTGAAAACCCATCGTTTCAGGAGGTTGTGCCAAGAATCTGGGGAGGAATATCCAGCACCATTTGCAGCAGCAGGAGTTTAGTGTTTTGGATGCTGGTCAAGACTTATTTTGGTAGAAAACATATGGCTTTCATGGGCGCAGTGGTTGAACTGGTATGATCACGCCAATTCAGCTTTCTACTTTGGCATTGCTTCCTGGCTTAGCTACTGTGTTCATTAAAGCCGCTGAAATATTTTGAAGGAAAGTGAGATGAGTTGCCAGTGGTACCTGGTGGTAATGGGTAGCTGCCTTTTAGAGCTGTGGGTTAACACACTCTCTGCACCTGTGCCTCTACCCATTAAATATAACGGGAGCTCAGAGTGAGAAGGGTTTGAAAGCGTAAACTGTCCTTTCCTCATTCGCCATGGCCCTTGGAATGAGAGTCTAATAAGGGTAGTGTTTGGAAACAGTTGCCTGCCTCACTGGAGAGAAAAGCTGAAGGAGGCAGGATTTGTTCCCTGTTCTTTGTAGCACTCATCAAAAGAGAAGTGAAGGCAACCTTCAACAGAATGCTGAAAGTCCCAGGACTTCCCTTGCCCACCGAGGATGCTCTGGAGTTGAGAAAGGACTGCCCTCCAGGCTGTCAGCACTGTGCTCCGTTTCCCTCCCAAATCATCAACGAGATTAAGGTACGTGGTGTTCGCTTCCTGGCTTGCCCTAACTCCCTTTTTATTTTTCACCTCGGTGGGGGTGTGTGTGTGTGTTTTGTTTGGTTTGGGTTTTTTTTTAAAAGGGGATGTTCTGGTTCTAAGGAACTGGCTGTGAGGAGTGTTTAGGAAACACGATGGAAAGGTCTCATGTTTTTCTCATCCCCCTGCTCGCTGTCTGTGTGTAGATCAAAGTTCCCTGGTCAGGAGTACTATCTCAAATACAGGATTTCTTGTAGCATGGCAGTGGCCTTTTTGATAGAAGTAGTGTAGTGTGGTGAGCGTTGTGTACAACTGTATGCTGAAGAGTCAGCGTATCAAAATAGCCACTTTTTTGTAGACCTGCTCTTTCTGTGGAGAGTCTCCTGGTCTCCGTTTAGAGTTGGTCCTTTTAGTTCTGTAGAACTTGATAGACTGTCCCATCTTATACACCAGGAATTATACATTGAATTAAGTGTCAGACAAATCTGTTGAAAGATTTTTGCCAGTCTGCATCTGCACCTTCATTCAGCTATAATTAGGGAGAAATCAGAGTATCTTAAAAAAAAAAGGTGATGGTACGGACATAATTTCAGCCTTAGATCCAAGCAACTTTCTATTCAAGCTGGTTCAAATTACATTTTGGTCTTTTCTCCCAGGCTTTTAAAAGATCACTGTTCTTGTAAAACTCATGCAATTATATAACCTGTGTGAGTAACCCATGAAGAAAAGAAGAATTCTAAAAACCTCACTTTTTTACGGTTACATATTCTGCCTATTTCTTTTTTTGCTGCTGCTTGTCTGTTTGAGCAATAATACTGGATCTCACTGCCATCACATTCCCAGCAGTTGTATAAGAATGAGTACATATCCTTTAACACTTTCTTGCTTGAGATAAAATAAAAAGAGGAGGGTAAGATATGTGAGGAAACCAGGGGCTTTTTCTGTAAACTGTTGCTTTTTGAAGATATTTTTGTATGGCATCTTGAGATAGAGGTTTAAAATATTTTTTATTCTTTTGACTTCCATCCTGGGTTTCTGATGTTGGGTGGTAAATCGCTGGTGATGGAAAGTGCTACCACACGTAAAATTTGCTAAACCAGTTTTCAGGCCATAACCCTGTTAGTGCTCTTCATACTTGGCTTTTATTGACGCTGAAGCTACCTTGACAATGTAAGAGGACTCCGCATTTCTGTAGCACTTCTACCTTGAACTTGCTTGCTGCGCTATCAGATTTATCTAGAGTTTTAGAGCTAGTTACTTTTAAGAAGGATGACCTGGTTGCCCTCACTGACTTTGACTTCAAAACGTTAGTGAGAACTATGGTAGAAAATCAGACCTAGGTAAGGTTGTGAAAAATTCAGCTTTAATCTGTCTTATGAAATGAGGAGGATACTAGCTTAATTTTTTTTTTTTTTCTTATGAGGACCTGAGGACTATCTGTGAACTGCTCTGTCATAGGTCCAGAGATCTGTTTGTGGACGTGCAGGATACTAATAGGTGAATTACTGCTGTCTTTTTCATCAAGGATGTACTCTGTGTTGCTGTGGGCCCACGGGATGAGGGTGAAGTGATTGAGTACGTCTGGCTGGAGTGCCTGCTAGGAAGATTGAGTCAGACACTTCGATGCAGAAAGGTAGAAGTAAAAAAGCAATCAAAAAAACCCTTGGACCACTTTGAGATGTCTTCACACCTGTAAACTTGTTAGCTTGCCTTGCCTCACAGTTGAGTTCAGTTGAGTGTTTTTTGTCCGAGATCAAATGTGACAAAGTTGCACTGCATTTTTTTATACTGTGTAGATCTGCTTGCTACTTAAAATTAGCCTTTGTGGATCCCCTTTTCATACACGTTTTTTTCTTGTCTTTCAGTCTTTAATGGTCTCCTGATTACAGCTCTGTGCTGCTTGCTGTAAATTGCCTGCTCTTCTCTGATATTTTTATCCCTTGTGAAGCCCTGTTTTGTCCAGTCTGCAGTATGGGGACAAAGATACAACTTTTTTTTTGTGTTTTCCAGTTCATGTGTCCCACATCAGAACAGCAGCTGGCAAAGTGCACGGTTGAGTTGGCTTCTTTGCTGGGTAAGTCAGTCATGATAAGCTATTTAAGACTGAAATCTGTTACTACAGTTCTCTTAAATGCTTGGGGTCAGACATTTCAGTATTTGGAGCTCATGAACGTTTGATTCTCTTTGGTGTTGTTGAGTCTGCAGATTTTTTTTCTGTCAGTTTGGGTGGTTGCTCTTATTCCCTTCCACCTTCTGCAAAACAGCATTATATTGTCACTAACCATCCTTCAGATCTGGTGTTCTATTCACATCTCCATTGTTTTTTATTTATTGATACCTTCATTTAAATATGTGATATGTTTTCCAGTATTTCTGCCTCTGAAAAGTTGCAGCTGAGGTTTTTTTTTCCCTAAAAGTAAGGGCCTGTGCCCTTAAATTATATTTTTATGGCTCCTTTTGGAGAGAATGGAACTAACTTGTTTTCTGTGTATTGTGACTTCTGTGAGTGTTTTCAGGTGTTTGTTTTTTTTTTTTTCCCCTCTTGCTCTAATGTGTTAAATACAGTGTTTTTCTCAGCAGGAGCTAGTGATCTGGATGCAGGTGTTTTCTCCCTGGGCAACCTTCTAATTTCCTGGTTTTAGAACCTTCTCAGAAGTTTTATACATGGTTCATTCTTTCAGAAAGCAGTTCACATCTGAATATTGTGAAATACAGACCCTGTGAGTCTGTACCAAGGAAGATCTTGTATCTTCCCGCTGTGTATGTTTAGCTGCAGTTAAACACTGTTCAGCTTTACTTTCACTTGTATGAAGTTATGCGACTCTGCCTATCGTCAAAACTATGAACAACGGTTTAATCTGTTTACAGATTTAAATGTTGTTTTACTGTGTTACTCTCCTTTGGAGTAACACCTAGGTCCTCTTTTGTTAAACATTAGGCTGACTTTTTATTGAGTCAGTCATCTTTCAAGACTTGGGGCTATAGGGCAACCAAACGGTATTCTTTGTCTGAGTAGTATGAATCTCTTCCTATGCAATACTTGTTCATATAGTTTCAAAGCTCATAATTTTGCGTGTTTCTAAACTCCAGTCCTCTTAGGTTCGCTGGTTTACACTCACTGTTATTACTTCAGCTATGCAAAATGTGCTGTTGGACCAAGATGATGACTATAAAAGGAAAATAATGCAGCTATGGAAGTTCACCTTTCTTCCTTTTTCTTACAGTTTCAGATCGTGTTCCTCTGAGTCTCGGGATCGAGTCCTCAGAGAAGAGCTCCCAGAGGCTGCGTGTAAAGAATAATCCCACCTATGGCCTTCTAAAACTGCTGCTTTCTGTCTGGAAGGAGGACTTTGGGACAGCTGTTCCTGTGCAGCTGATGTTCAGCAAGAAGAACATTGGTTATCTTGCAGAAGTCAAGCAGCGAGAGGTAAAGCTTATTCCGGTCTGTGGAGCTGCCAGTTATCCGCTCTGGTCTGATATATTCATGTAAGAGTTCTGCCTGCTCGCAGTGTTAACTGATTGCTTGTGTGAATGAGGCTAGCAGGATCTGCTCTGCTGTTGGCTGGCGTTGTTTCTGCAGGGATAGAGAAAAAGAGGACTGCATACTACTTGTCGGTGTTTGATACCTGTCTGGGGGGCTGTCAGGAAGGCACGGTTTAATTGAGGAAAAATGACAAAATGGCCCATTTGGCTTGGGAGATTATGAGGACTGAACACATGTAATTGGCTGCATTTGTGTGTCTTGTCAGCTTTCATTTTTGCATGTGTATCGGTGTTAATCTTATAAGATCCCCAGCTATGAAGCTGAAAATTGCCCTATTTAGTTGCAGGCTAAAACCAGCTTATTTTAGAAGGTAAGAAAAGAATTTTTCGAGCTGTTCTTGAACACACAGGAATTAAGTACTTGGTGCGTTTGGAAACAGGATTAGAAATTTTGAGACTTTCTGGTAGGATACAATGTATGAACTAAAGGAGTTTTGTTCACTCATCTTGAATGTTGCTCTTTGGTGTCCTTCATTGCCACACCCAGATAAATAATGTGTTTTCTCCTTTTGCTCCTTTTCTCCACATTCTGATCCGAGAAGAAAAACAGGAGTTGTACAGGGATAAAGAAACAAACACAAAATCCATTTCTTTTTGAGTTGTTGATATTTTTTTCTCTTTTGCAGTGGGATTTGTTCCTTTTCGTGCTTCATGGTCTTGTGGAACAAGAACTAATGAGAACTAGTGAAATAGAGAGTTGCTTGCATAGCCTCGAAGAGCTCCCTTGGCCTTCAGTAAGTAATTAGAAGTGTGTGAACAATGGGTGAAATACACAGGAAAGCTATGTAAACAGTCAGTCCTTGTAGTTCTCTTTCGCGTAGATGAAGCCCATAACCTTCCCTATCTATAGTTCCCGCTTAACGCGGCAGGACTGGCTTCCAGCAAGCTTGTTACTGTTACCAGTGTTTGGTTGAAATCTGTACTTGTGTGAATCCCAGCGTTTCCCATGCAGTGGAAACATCTCCAAGAAAATTGTAAACCAGTTTGGAGACCAGCTGGCTCAGTCACCAGCTCTCAGTTCTAGCCTGACTGCGTTTGCCGTGCTCCAGCTGAGAATGACGTTGGGAAGGGTCTTAACTGACCGGACTTGCGTTTAAACCTCTTTGCCTCCTACCACCAGAATGTGAGAGGAGTTCAGAGTATTCTAGCCAGAGTCAAAACGTAGGAAACCGCCCAAGTCCCTTGCTAAAGAGCGGACAGTATTTCAAGGCTGGTGCGCACTTGTGTATTGGAGATGTTTAACCATTTCAACTGTGGCAGTGATGTCTTCTGAGAAGGGTGTGGGGGTTAGAGGGGAGGCTGAACATGTAGACCTACAGGCATTCATCTTTACAATCAATTTTGTAGCTTGTCTAGCTTTCTGCACTGGAAAACCATCAACAACATGTTTAACCTTGTAAAGTTCTTTACTAGAAAAATTAAGTAAGCCTCTTTGTTGACGTTTGTTAATAAGGGTTCTCTGGTTTGTATCTGTTTGTTACAGGATTTCTTGAAAGAACTGGAAATGCTGTCCAGAGTATTTCTATCAGAACACCACATAGAAGAGCCCAGGACTAGCCCTTGTGAGCTGACCAGACAATCTCTAGGTACCGTGACGGCACAAAGTTAGTGGAGGTGGACTCTCTGTGGACAAAAATTACTCATGAAGATGCAAATGGAATTTATAGTGTTTATTGAATGCATTGTGAGCTCTTTGCTGGGAGCATACTGCAGCTAAGAGGTCACTTTGTGCAAAACCTGCACTGGTCTTTCTGTTCATGGACATTTTGCTGTGGTGACTATGCTGAAGGATTTACATCAGCAAATGGATCTCCAAGGCAAAAGTCCTTCAAGCACCTTGATCGTGGCTCAGAGCAGCTGTTTTTTAGACTCGTGGACACTTTTTGTATTTGCACAGCGACAGGCTGTGACCAAACCCAGGAATCAATTCAAGTGGACGAGTTACTTCATGATCAGAGAGATGGTTTCCTGGTGGCTGTCTCTGCTCTTGACTTAATGTGATTTCTCACGCTGTCTTTGAACACAGACTGTACTGTCAGGGGAGGGAAAAGGTGAACCTGTATGACATGGAGATGAGCCTATATTTATTTTTCATTGTAAGCTCAATTTCGAAGGTTTGATTTTAATTTTTTTAAGACTCGTTTTAAAAGTTAAACCATATTAAATATATACACCAGAACATTGATGGCATTATTCTTAAAGGATGTAGATGCTTAAGTGTTTTTCCATCTCTTGTTGGAAACAGGACTTGTAATTTCCTGGGGTTTTTCATAGAAATAAGGGAGAAAATATGTGTTTATATTTTTTACTGAAGACAGACGACGGTATTTTTTAAGACACTTTTATAGTATGTGACCATAAATGGCATCTGGCTGCTATTCGCTGTTTTTTATAATCCTTCTTGCCTTGAATTTGGGTTTTATCAGACAGGAAGTGCTGCAGTAAGACTACTACAGCCTGGAAGAACAGACAAAAAAGTAGTGAAAAAGCTCTGTGATGTCCTCTGGGGAGCTGGTTTTGAAAGGAATCCTGCTCCTGGAGGACGGTGGGTGTTTTCTGCCTTTGCGGATAGATCATCACCAAGGGTGTGACCTCCCATTCACACCCCCCAAGTATTTCCTTACATTGGGGTTTGTGGTAGGGACTGCTGGTGGTTAGCAGAATATGATTAGGTGCTCATTAGCTGTCTCATGGGATGCCCCCCCCACCGCCCCCGCCATAGCAGTGAGGCTATTATTATTTCCTTTTGTCTAGGAGTGTCCTAGCAGTGCAGGTTTTTCTGGAAAGCAAATACTGTGTTATGCAAGAACAACATCTGGATGAAGTGAAGCCCAGGGCTTTTTAGCTTGCTAATTAACTTAATTTACCTCTTCCTTGTATAAGATGAGAAAAGGTAACACCTCGGAGTCAGTGATTTAAGAAAAACCACAAACAGACCTAATAATTAGGTAGAACTGTGGCTTCTGTTAAAATATATTTGCTACAGAGAGAGAAACCACAGAGGCACATCAGTGCCTGAACTGTACTGAGCTTTTTTCTTGGCTTGGTTACTAAGCAAGCGTGGCATTGAAAGATTTGGCATGTTCCATGTGCATGCCTCATTTTAGGGGTTTTCTGATGTGCTTGAAGCAGGGGGTCCCTAGAAGGAGGCGTGCTGTGTATGCAGCAAGGAAATGGTAACATGAATTGAAATAGCAAGTACACACCGTATCATACCATACCTGCTCCCTGAGGCCGAGTACTGTGTGACATTTTGCTGCAGAGCTCCTTTGAAGTTGTTGTTTGTCATAATAAACGTGATTAAATATCCTGTTTTGTGTTCAAGCTGTTGATATATAACCTCTTTGTACTGGGGCGAGTACAAAAAAAGGTGCCTTGCCACAAAGCATGGGGCAGAGAAAGTACAGTAATAGCTCCTGTCCAGCCTGCTGCTGCTTTGCTTAAACTGAAATACAGCTTTATTTTGTTATATAAGGGGGGTGGGGGTGGTGGAAGGGGGAAGAAGCTGGAATCCATAATGGTAAAAAAAAAAAGGTGCTCTCGGCTCTGGAACTGACTTTTTATTTGGGTATTGTAAAACTCTCTGCATAGATACCATGGCCACAGCTGTTTTCATGAACGCAACATACCTGAATTATCCTTCTCTAATACAGCATGCTTGGAAATTTTTATTTAAAAGGTGACCAAGCCCCAGGAGCAGTTTACTAGGTCCAGAGGGGATAGTTTTATCCTCTCTGGGGAGAGGGCAGTCAGTTCTTCAGTGGGAACCAGCAGGTAAGGAACACCTCCGTTTCCATGTTCTTACGGCTTAATGCAGTTACTGTCGTTCCCGGGCATCCCAAGGTACTCGGCCTTGGTTGCTCTGTAAAGCCAGACACTTGACTTCGTAACTAAACCTCGGGAACAATTGCATAGCACGCTGTTTTCTGCCTAGGGATGCTCCGCAGTGGGACCACTGTCATGAGGCTGCATGACTCCGCAGTCCCACTGGGCTGGTAGATTCCTCTCGGTGTGAGTGCTTGAAGCATTGTACCTGTTCCCTGCCTCTAGCTGTAGTGCGAGTGGTGCTGCAAGGAGGAGAGCGGTAGGGAGACGAGAGCTCACAGCAAGCAGGTCAGAGTGTGTGGCCTTCCTTCTGTCAGTCTTCCCTACAGCAAACTCACAGCTCTCAAAAGAAAGTGAGGAAAAATGGCATTGTATTAACTTCCTTCTGGCTGTTTGGGTCAGAGGAGTTGTGTAACTGGACTCAGGAAGAAGCTTCAGCCAGTGCCTCGTTTCAAAACAAAACACCCCCTTTGCCTGGACAAGGCACTGCGTCACAGAAACCAAATTTAAGCAGTGACTGGCTTCTTGACTCTTGTGCCACAAATTCATACTCCGTGCGCATTCCTCAGCAGGTAAGCAGGAGACCTACAGCTTTTATCACAAGCTAGCCTTTATGTTATTTCTCCATCCAGCATAGTTCCATAGATGGGTATCTTAGCTGGAGCAAAGTAAGGTGGGGCACGTTTTCTTGTGTAGAAAATACCCATTATTGTGGATATGAAAATAGCAATCTTGATTAAGAGCAGAGATGTGACAGTAGGTGGTACAATACAATTGGTTTGATCATCTACTGCTCAGCAGTAACTTACAGGAAGTTGGTTTTTGCCCGTTGTAGATGAACAAATTAGATATCTGCTGGGTTTTTTTCTTCCTTGCAAACAAACCAATGCCGTACATTAACGGGTACCATAAAATGTTACATTTGCAAAAGAAAACATTCATATAAACAGGCTTTTTAGTATCAATTGAAGATTGTATTAAAAAAAAAAGTTACATTAATTCAATACTGATAAAAATAAAACTTAGCTTTGATAGCATATAAAACCGCTTCAAAACAAGCATATATAAATAACTTAATTTTTAAACATAGAAAAAAATCTTATGTATATATAAAAATAAACATCTGATGCACTGTACAATAAGACATCATCCTTCATAGGCACTGGCATCGTTGATCAACAGGAATCCCCCTAGATGTTTTTCCTACAAAAACTGCTTTATCACTAGTGCCGTGTCCAAAATAAAAAGGAAAAAAAGCGAAGCACTGAGCAAATCTTTTGTGGATTGTATGACGACCTCCCCTGCCTCCTCTGGAAATCCATGGGAGCAGCACTGGGGACAGAGCCAATACGCCGTGCTGCTGTTTCTGCTCACTTTTTCAGAGGCTTTTATGTACTGCCTCGTTCGCTCCTCCTTTCTTGGTTTCCACCAAAAGGGGGGGACTGTATGACAGGTTGCAAATCTGGAAATTTGTCTTTCTGTGAAAACTTTGTGACAGGTTGCCCCTTTTTCCTCGAGGGACTATGGAAGATGCGTGACATTGAAGTGAAGCATGCCATGACACAGTTTGGCAGGCCTTTCAAGAAAAGGCTGAGCCTCACCAAAAAGAACAGTAATATAGCGGTGGTAAGATTGTAACCATGACCATCGAGGGGTAAAACAAAGCAAATTTGTAAGTGAAAAGTTTTGTTATCCTACCTGGTATAGTTTAGGGGCGGGGGAAAGCTGGGGGCTGGTATGTCTCAAAACTGCTATTTTCTTAAATACCAATTTAAAATAGCTATTACCTTTTCTTTTAAAACTTAATATATTAATAACAGGAAGTAACATAGAAGCTGAGAGCCAAAATTACACCTGTGCAAAGATACAGTAAAAGTAGATCTTGGCTCTTGAACTCAAAGGTGGGCAGTGCAGCTAACTTCACTGTATGCTGGGAAAATGCATCTTCTACTGAAAGTAACTAACCGTGTTGAAGTAGTAGATGCCAGCTCTGGTAAGGTGGATGCTTGAATACATATCTCTTGCTTGACAAATTTAAAGTGCAACAGCTTCTCGAACAACGTGGGCTTTTTTGAGCTAAAGAAAGCATATCATAGCAGCTTTTATTGCTTAGATTAGATAAGATACCTAAAGTGATCCTTTACCGTTGTGCTGAAGAACTAAATGAAGTTATTCAGATGATTAATTTTTAGGAATGTGTGACCAAACTAGGGCGTGTGGTGAACAAACGTGTAAAGCCTGACAGCAGGATTGTTGGACTAAGTTCAACAGAAATACCACGAGGTAATCGAATGGGAAGAGTCTGTATTCACTGCAGTGAGACAGCTGGTCGCGCTATGAACAACGAGGTGCAATAAGGCTATGACCAGGCTAGATTTTCAACTCTTAATGCATTTGGGTGAAAGTGAAGAAGGGCTGATGGAAAAAGCCATTGTGGAAAAACGCTGGAGCTACTCCTACTTGCAGATTTAAATTCTAGAAACAAGCTGCTTACTCAGTACTACTCCCTATTAATGACAGTGTCACTGTTTACAACTGTCAGTTTGGTTTCTTTATTTCAAAGCACCTAATTCTGCACTGCAGTAAAACTGTGTCCTGAGGTGTGGTGGTTTCCACTGATGCTGCATAGTGTAGTGGCAATCTGAAATACCTTATACTAGCTGCAAGTAGTCAGCCAGTTACGTGAGACAAATCTGTCCAGGGTGTAGGATGACTAGTGGATATCGTGCTGTTTTAACTTCCCTTCTCAAGGAGAAGTATAGCCAGCTAGCTAAGTTAAATGATTTATCTACACTGTTAGGAATTCTGCATTTGATGCTTATCTCAACGTTAGAAAGTGGCTTTGCAGCTCTACTCAAGAGGTTGTAGAAGGTCTCAGGCCATATGTGTACTTGTACTGTTTCCAGTTTGTCATGCATTTCATTGCCTCCATTGCCTTTTTCTCACTGCTGCCTAAACCTTCTTAAAAGAAAGAAGGTTGATCTTTGAAGCTCCTTGGAAACAGAAATTAAGTAATACACTTCTGCATGTAAGATGCTGGCTATTGTAAAGCAAAGTCTCCTCCTCTGCTCTTTATAGAGACAGCACACCTTCTGGCTGCTCCATGGAGGTTTTCCACAGCTGTCTCCAGGAGGACAGGTTCCCCATAAAACTTGCTGGGTTTCTTCTGAGCAGCGTTGGCTAAAATAAATGATCCTTTTTTCTAACTATACTTTTGTATAGTCCAACGTTAGCAGTTAGGCTCCTCAAGCGAGGCTTCATTGTCACTGTTTTAGGAGCCAGCATTTTACATTACCCTTACAGATGCTTGTGTCTCTTCATGAACATTCAGCGGCTGCTGAGCGTCCAGTTTTGTACCAAACACTAACTAGCAAGAAAGTGTGCCAGTCGAGCGATCACCAGAGGCTGTCGCTTAGCAATGGAACTCAGGAGCCTTGCGGGGATAGCCGGGGCACCGAGATCCACCTGCAGGAGTTAGAAGAAAGGCCGCATGTTGTTGGGGTTTGTACCTGTTTTTGAACAAAACACTTCTCCAGCCCGGAATAGCTCTGACGTTGCAAGTGTGTGTTAAGCACAAAAGCGGTTTACAGCCAAATGCTATCACTACTGTGTGGTTTGTATCTTTTCCTGCCCAATACGGCACAGACTTTCAAAGCTTTGCCATTCGATGTTACTTTCAGCAGGTATGACCCACGCTGCCTTTGAGTTTGAGCTTAGATTAAAGGTTACTAGTTTGAGACAGATACAGTGTTACTGAAAATGCATATGCATATACTAAAGTGCAATATAACATGCATCTAAAATTTTAAAATGCATATACATTACACATACATTGTAAAATGCATATGCTAGTTACTATAATTTAAAGATAATATTTTTTTAAATTGTTATCTTAAAAACGTGTTTTATATAGATAAGTTTAAAGGACTAATGCCATTCAGCTCTCAGATGAGCACTTGGTACCACTGTCTCAAAGAGAGCCTACTTTTCAGATGAGTCTGTAATAAATGGATGGCGGGATTTTCTTATTCTTAACTGGAATCCTAATCTTGACTTCTCTTTTGTATCTATTAAGTGTGAAGAATTAAAGACTTCAGTTAGAGAAAGTTAACAACAAGTGTTTCCATGCACTTTGAAAATAGTATAACCCGAGGTGGAGTTCCTGTGTCCACAGCACGATGGAAATGCAAACAAGACTCTCCATACTGGCTCACCGTGTGAGAACGCAACATATACTAAAATTGCTAATAAACCTTTACAGAAGAGTCTTTGTATCCAAGGGAGCAGCTTTAGATACTGCTAAAACTTGGGATCGTGTGCTTAAGCACAATCCTAATAAGCTTCTCTCTGCATTACTGTACACCATGCTAGATAACAGTGTGAAGTGGAGGTGACTTTTATGGTCACTTCATAAACTTCATGGACTGTAGCATAAGGATTATATTTTTTTGTTACTTACGAGCTCTTAAGTGTTGTAATATGTAACGGCTTTTTGCATTCACAGTTGGACATACAACAAAATCCTACCTGTGCCATGTAAATAACTCTGGTGATATCTCTTCCGTTCACTACATCAGGTTCCAGTATCCAAGCACTCGGCAAAATCTCCCCTCTCACCACTTCTTTACACGGGTGAGGCATGGATGCATCATAGACAGACTGAATAGCCAAGACAGACAAGTTCTCCTGCATGTGACAAAGCGTAAAGACAACAATTTGAAAAAAATTTTATGCGTATCATAATGTCTTCTTTGTTTGTCACGAGGCATATTTCTCATATTGCTTACTTAAAAGAGCTCTTTTGATAAGAAATAATATTTCTCATTTATTAAATAATTTTTTGTCATAATCTTGCATGTTTGTAACCAGAATATACTGTGTAACACTTGTGTTACTGCCTAAGGGGGCTTGGTTCACGGTTGTCATTCACAAGAGGGTTTTATACATAATTCATTTGTGTCATATCAGCAAGGCTTTTCTTCCTATTACACTGTCACTTCTGGAAATATGAGCATGGACTTTCCTTCCTTCTCCCCTTTTGGCCTTGAACCAGTTCAGAACAATTACTCCTCTGTGCTTCAGAGAGAACGTTCACTTTACCTCTTTGGCTTCTACAGTAATGCAGCAGAAATCCCGGGGTTGCTTTAGGTAGCAGAGGGAGGTATCAGTCACTAAATAGACTGAAAAAAACACCCAAAAACAAAAAAAAGGGGAATTAGACTTTGACAACTTTAACTTGTCACAATTTTCCCCCACCCCTTAAATGCACGTGCGTATTTTATTTTGACTTCTTGTTGCCTAAGAGCAGAGCCCTAGTTAATATGCTATAATGTGTCATTAAGATGCTTTTTCAAGACACTTAAGATTTATTTTGACTTTCAAACCACCATCTTTAGCTGTACTTCTGCAGCGAGATGTGTTTAATATTATCCTTACTTTGGAAAAGTCTTGCAAAACTGAAGTTCCCGTATTAAATAATGAAATTATTTCATTTCTTCAGGTTTGAATAAACAAGATGCCTCTAAATTTCTTCCTGGCTGACAACCTGAGCTGAGAAAGTACGTAATGATAATGGTGGCCAGCCATTTGTGTTGATACTCACCCAGCTGAATATGGCTGGTTACCTTCTTGTGTATTCGAGCTGTGTTGATAGTTCTGTCGTACAGATGCCTTTTGCCAGGATCTCTCACTAGTCCCCAGACATAGGGAAGAGGTCTTTCTATCACTCCTGCTCCCAGAAACCCGTGCCTTGTTGCCGAAGGGAAGACTTTGTAGTAAACCAGCACCTCTTTTTCTGTACATTGATATCTGTCAAAGACAAATGAAAGGTATTTGCACACAAGAGAGCCAAATACATAAAAAGGCCTCCCATTATAAAGACCTGCCATAAACTTACTTCCAACCAGCTGCTGCCTGGCATGTGTAGAGATTCCTCAGGTTATGAGAGCACGCTGCCATTACCTTAGAAAACAATGACAAAAGTACAGGTAAGAGAAAGTTGTATAAACTATAAATTGTGTTCCGCTTTTACGTGCTGCTACACTATCTTCTACTCAAACTACTAAGCTGGCTTTACCACAAACAGTTTTACAGTGCTAGTAATCCTTAGGGAGTATTAACAGCCAGACTGACTTGCCTGTCATATTCTCTGCTGAAGGAGGGGAGAGAGAGAGGTATAAAAAAGCCTAAGCCTGTATACTAGCCTAAACTACTGTGGGAAATGGGGGGAGCATGTATCTCCAAACGATGTTGAAGTGATTCTACCTGACCTGAAATATGAAGTTAGTATGCTTTCCTTCTAACTACACACTCACATGTTGTCATACACAGATACACAGTAAAACCTGCACTGTAGGAATTCTTGGACGCTAGAGGAGTTCAGCAGTTTCACCAGCTTCACAAACCTTTCAGCTAACATGCAACAGTGTCTTCTGAACCCCACGGCTGCAGCCTGGCTCACTTTACACTGAGCAATTTTAAATGGCGGGGTGTCTCTCTCTAACTGACAAATAGGTAACTATTGGCAGTAGAACAACAAGGCTTGTCCCACCCATTTTTGCTACAACTTCCAGTAGGAGGTATAGGAATAAGTGAAAACTCTGCTTATTTACTTACCTCAGTGGTAGCATTAGCCAAGATATGTTTGGATAAATCTTGGTATCCTTTTGTTGAAGAGGAGCTGACGGAAATAGTTAATCCATGAGTGAACCTACAACTGATGCTACTAGAAGGAAGGGGTGGCTGAATTCTGCAGGCTTCTGCAGGAGACAAAAAAGCCATAGGGGAATAAAAAAATTAAAAAGAAAACCCACCACTATTCTGCAGTTGTAGGGACTTAAACCCTCCACTGGAGCACCCAAGCCACCTGATCCTGACGAGGGACTGAACATCCCTCATCTAGACAACCTATGTATTGGTAATTACACTGCAGTTACATCTTGCATTACTCAAGTTTAGCAGTTATTACCACATATAAGCTAATAAAATAATCTAAAGAAGAATAGGCAACATCAGTCTTGAGGGTAAAAATAAGAACGTGCATGTACAATCCCATACTCGTTGCGGCTTTAGCACCCCCCTGCTTCCTTGGTTCATTCAAAGCATTATCCTCATACCCTCTCAGAACCCTGTACTTTGATGTTACCACATCAAAAGACCAACTTCAGAGGGACCAAATCACTATTTACTTTTTCAAGAAATTCTAAGCAAGCTCTGGCTACTGGTTGACAGTATTTTTCTGAAGTCGTGTAATGGTAGGGACATCCTCAAAATACCTAGAATCAAATTAGATTCTGATTTGCATAAATGACAAATCTCATTAGGCTTTGGGATGCAACTCAAACATAAGGAGACGTAT